GGGAGGCTCCCGGGACGCCTCCCGCCGCCCCGCGGCCCTTCGTCTTTCTCTGTCCTTCGTTCCAGGCCTGCCGTCTGCACGCGCGACGCCCAGCACATTTCCGGGAGAGGAAACGGGGGGGGGGGTCCTTCCTGCGCCTCGGGACGGGATTGCCCCGTGGAGGCCGAGCCCCCTCCCGGTGGGGGGAGGAGAGCAAAACGGGAAACCCACGCATTTTCGCTTCGCGGCCGAGAAAAATTTTTAAAGGTTGAGCAGAACCACCCACAGTTGGACTTTCAGGGGGAGCGTGAAGACCCGGGACGGCTTCGTCTCCAAAGAAGAGGGGGGCCCGACCCCGGGGAGTCCGCTGCGCCTGCCGCCTACCTCGGGCCAGGCCACGGGACAGGGGCCTTTGGGACGGCCGCCTGCAGCCGACAAGGGGCCGAAATCTCTGCAATATAGTCACAGCCTTAATAACACTCCAGTTTCCGTTTCTACAGCCGTTCTCAGCCATGTCCTCCGTGTCCCGTCCCATTTGTACTCGGAGCTCTGCTCGGACAGGACTTGGAACTGTTGGAAGTGTTTCCAGGCCCTTCCTGCCACCTCGCCTTCATCATTGTGGGACCCCCCACCCCCAAGCTGTTTTAGGCCACTGCCCCGGGCCTCCCCGGGCCTGTTGGGGACGTCACCGTAGCAGAGAGGGCGGCCGTGTGTCCCTCGCGTGGTGAGAGGCCACAGCTGCTTGTTAGGTCGTGTGACATTGTAAGCGGCGGCGAGCCCTTGGAGAACTGTCAGATCAGCGCCGGTCGTGTGAGCCGGTGAATTTTCAACACCTGAGCTACGGTGGCCGCAGTCTCAGGTCCGGGAGGCCAGGTTTTTAGACCAGATATCCCGTAACCCCATGTAATTTTTAAGTGACTTACGGTACCACGGAAATGCATTCATGACAAACGCAGGCGAGGTGACTGGCCAAAAGGTTTCCTGGCAAATAAAAAGGTATTTTATTAAGTATCTTGTAAGAGTGAAACTTTATTCGAACAACTGATGATAATAGCCAAAGTCTTTCATTTTCCTTTGGTCAGACATTGAGTTTCTGTGTTAAAATCCGCTGCATGGATTTCGGTTTGCCTGGGGACATGCCACGCGTGGGGCTACCGTGAAGGGCGTGGAACCGGCGACCCTGGGATGACCAGCGTCTTGCGTGGCAGCCATAGTTCTCAAAAGGTCCCAGTGGCGTCCGGTGTCCCGCCGTCAGTCCGTGTGGTCACTGACGGCGCCAGGACCCCACCCGGGCGTCTCGCTGCTGAGTGTCGCTTGTCCCGGCCTCTGCAGCGTCATTTCCATGTGACCACGGGGCAGGTTTGTATCAGTGTTTTTTTCCCAGAGAAAAGTCGGCAGCTGACAGACCTCTTTACTGATCCAGAACCTGCTTCTCATGGGGAAGGCATTCCAGCCGCCGGGCAGGGGACTCATTAGAGAAGGTCAGAGGGACAGAGGGACGCACCCCGGGGCTCGGACTCTGGCTTGTGGGGAAGCCAGCCTCCCGGGATTAGCTTTTGAAAGAGCGGACAGCTTGCCTTGAACTTGACCGTTGATCGGCTGACTGTCGTTCACAACAATGTAAACATTGTCTTACGTGAGCATTTCCCGTGAGCGTCCTGGTCTCTGTCTCGCCCTTTGACCTTTAATGTGCAAACTGGCAGCAATGGAAGGAAATGAGGCGTCGCTTCTCCGCGGACGGTCAGTTGTCCTCTGACAACCCAGGAGCATGAGCTGGGGCCGGAGTGGACGAGGGGGTGGGTGCCAGGAGTGCGGACTCGCTCGGGAAAGTGCCCTGAAGGGGACGCGACTGTTCCTTTTCCTCTATGATACACTCTCAAGTTTGAATTCGTAATTTTAGTACAAATATAAAACAATAAGAAAAAACACCTCCAAATACTTGAACGGCCAGTGTGGCTTTTATATGCAGCAGGAGTTTTATACTAGTGAGAATTTCTTACCCATTTGCTAAAACGCATTTCCAGGTGATTTTTGCCGAGGGTTGGGACACGCGCCTACCTGGAAGTGCGCAGTTGGCTGCCGTGGCTTTATATTTATACTCCGTGTAGCATGAGGATTCGAATGCCTTTCGGTTCAGCGTTTTATGACTGGGTCGGGGGAGCATTTTATACTCACGGGGGCACGTTGCAGGGGCCTGCAGGCTGTTGTTTCTTACAACCCGGGCACAGGCAGTGTGAGGCTGGGAAGAAGGACCGGTTCAGACAGAGGAACGAACGCCTTCACCCCGAAGGGGATGCCGCGTGCGAGGGCCGGCGCCCCCCGCAGGCCGGCTCCGGCTTTTGTTGCAGAGGATGCCGAGTCCCCGAGAGTCCGTGACGCCCGCTGACCGCACGCATACGCTCATTTATATAACAGTGTTTGCTGGTGGGAGGGCTTAATCCTGTTGGGACACTGATGTCCAGGAAAAATAAATAAAAAGACGGGAAATTACTTTTTTCTAAAGACCAAAATGAGGAACCGCGTCCTTTTGGGAGATGTGGAAGTCACCGAGGAGTTCCACTGACCTACGTGGAAAATTGACTTTTTTCTTTGAAACCGGCTGCCTCTGTACTCGCCTGTCACGACGTCCTGGTTCATCGGAAGACGGGGGGTGCAAGGGCTGGAAAACACTGACGCGCCCCGAGGGGAAGGGCTCCCTACGAGGCCTGATCCTGGGACGTCGCGGGCCAGTGCGGGTCAGTGTTTGCTTCCGATGCCAGGGGCGGGACAGGCACGTGCGGCTCCTACTTCGTAGAGCCTTTGCAGTTCCCGGCTGTGAGACGTCGGGGAAAAGAAAGCATTAAGTTCAACGTGACCCAAACCCGGGGCTCTGATGCTTATCGCAAGCTGCGCACTCCCGTGATGGACCCGGTCAGTGTCAACAGAGACCCGCGACCTGCTAAGTCGCTTCCATCGTCCCGTCTCTGATGTGCGGAGAGGTCAGACCCAGGGTTTCCCAAGCTGGAATGAGCACAGGCTCACGAACACAGAAAATACCTCTCTTCTGTTTCATGGTGTTTTTATTGCTTATTATGAACACAGATATAAACAAGGTAATGCTCTTTCCATAAATTAACTATATACTTTATCATTTTAGCCAAATGTTGTTGTTCTAGATATTGCTGACAGGGCTGGATGAAGAATTAAAACAGCCGATCGGTCTGAGTCCTCTGTGAAGCAGAGCCCCCGTCAGACCTGGGGGAGCTGGGGAACTGAGCCCCTGACTGGCCTCGGCAGGTGGCATCCGGGACACGGTGTCCGGGATGCGGTGCCCGGGACGCGGCGCCCTTTACAGACCCGCTGGAGAGCTCTGTGTACACCTGGGAGGACAGCGTCTGTTACAAACAGAGGGCGAGGTTCCTGAATCTGGTGTAATGAATACTAAGTAACAGTTTACAAAAATAATTACTAAGTAACAAAGGAAAGAGACTGACTTGCTGAATTAAGCAAATAGTACTTTCACCAATCAGATTGCTTGTAACCTTTGTCTGCCGACCTGCAGTTCGTCTGTCTCATATCCCATACACGTCTCATCCCTCTCTGTGCGAGATTTAAAAACACACGTGGTGGACCACGCACCCAGCTGTGGGCCTCACGTGAGAGTAGCCAGTGTGTCCGTGTCGACTGAACTCCCTGTGCTCCCTGGAGAGGAACAATGTCTTTAAATAGACGAGTCAACACAAGAGTCATGAAAAGACTTTTTTAATAAGATTTGGAATTATTTCCTAAAACTAATAGAGGCATCGATTTACAGATAGTGTGGGGTCTGTGAGGTGGTTTCAGCCTGAAACGCCTCCCAGAGGGTGGAGAAAGCTTTTCCAGCAAACGTAGCAGTTCCTTTAACCTCCAGCGCCCTCGAGCCACGTTCCAAAACATGACAGATGTCAAACAGATTCCGTCTAAACCAAAAATGTGAAATCCGGATGAGCTGTTACAAATGGCGGGAAGTGGGGCCTCAGCCCACGCGCGACATCACGAACGGTGGCGAGTGAATGATACTCAGGATCTCACGTCTCATCGCGTCCTCAGGAGATGGACTTGCTGACCACAGGTTATGCCGGCCCAAGGGAGGGGTCTGTTACTGGTTCACGATGTGTGGGAGGGAACCACGGCTACAACAGAGAAGTGTTATCAGCGGTAGCTTAACATTAGAGTTTAATGTAATAAAGAGGCCTAGCATCGCACCACAAATGTAAAAGCTAAATATGACATTGGAGAAGTGGTGGGGAGGAAAAATGAGTCTTTTGTAAAATATAAAAACCTACTTTAGCACACCCTTCATACGACTGGGAAGTTTATATACGTAAATATAAAAATCATAGGAAAAATGCAGCTTCAGTCTCTTCACACCAGTGATCGGCATGTGATCCACCCGTGTCCATATTCAGCCAGGGGTCGCCGGAGTCACCTGTGTAAATGCACCTGCCACTCGGGCACCACCCCCCAGGCTACAGGTGTCAGCAGTTGGTGTTCAGGCACCTCAGCTGGAAGGACAGGCAGTGCCAGCCCCCCCGAGAGAGGCGTTTCCCCAGGAGGGAAACCTGCGTCCGTGACTCTCAGCGCACGAAGCACTCGGGGAACCAGCAGGGAGCCCCCTCAG